CAGCCAGGCTGGAGGGGACGGGCCCTCAGGAAGAATGGAAGCGTTCTCCTCCTCGGTTCTCACAGATCTTAAGGAAATAATTCAGCCTCTGTGTTTTGACTCAAAACAAAGAAACTTTTAAAAAACATTTCAGTTGAAACTTGCATAATTCTTCCAGTGGAGAAACCCTCCCTAACTTTCGCAATCCTTAGAAAGAGACACATTATTGCTGCTTGTGTAACAGTCTCCGGGCCACAGGGAGTCTGCCGCCGGCCAGGGACACCTCCCCAGACGGCCAGGGCACGGCCGGAAGCACCCGGTGGCCAGGGATGTGGGGCGGGGCTGGGGTTACACTCCCCCGATGTCCTCACCTCCTGCCCTGTCTGCCCTTACCTGACACTGCACACACACATCACACAGAGGCTGCAGGACAACAAACCTAGACGCCGTTGAGCCAATGACCCTACTCTCAAAGCCCCACACTGACCGAGGGACTCCAGAGGGCAGCAGGGACAGAGGAGAGGGCCACTCAACGACCCTGCCACACGCCCGGCAACACACCGGCACTGGCGACACCCCGGAAGGCGACATGCCCAGCCCAGCTCCAGAGAGGGCTGCTGGGAACAGGCAGGTGGGCCATCTTGGAGAACCATCCGGGGCGGCTCTGCTCGTGGCAGACAGACTGAGCGCGCTGGGCAGCCCCACACCCCCCTCCTCACTCTCCCAGGGCCGACCAGCGGTGGCGGGGCGGGGGGGTGCGGGGCACAAACCAGAGGCCTCGCTCGAGCGGCTGTTTCCTCAGTTGGAGAAGACACCCCCCCAACGCGGGCTGCTCTGAGGCCTTCACCTTGACCAGAGCGAATGCAGACCCTCTCATTCTGCATGGCGGGTGAGGGCCCAGGAGCCTCATCTCAGAGCATCACCCAAGGTGGTACCCCACCTTCTCAGCCAAGTGTCTAGAACCAGGAAATTAACCATGGAACCCCCACAAAAACAGAGCAAAACAAGTGGACCAGGAGACAGATGGCCCTCTACACCTGAAGGCACGGGCGTGCGCACAGGCCCGCCACGAAGGAAGCGTGCCGGCCAGGGTCCGCTCCAGCCTGGTGGAACGTGCCCGAGGCCGTCCCCACAGCAATTTCAGCTGCAAATTTAGAGCAAAATGCATCTCACTCCAAGCAGGTCCGCAGCCCAGGACCCCACAATGTGCTGTCACCTCCAGCAGGGACCGCAAGGCTCCTCCCCACTCCCGGCCTGTCGGGGTCTCTGCTGAGAAAGCCCCGTTCTCTGACTGGGAAAAAGTCATCATAATGTGGGGAAAACCGTTTCGGCATTAGGAGGCCAGACAGTCCAGCTGTGGACACGCACGCCAGACGCCGCGGGGCCACCAGCCACGTGACAAGGGAGATTCTACAGAAAAGAGCTCTGCCAAAGCTCGAGTTTCAGAAGGACAGAGGTGCAGCTTCTTCAGTGTGAGAAGCAGAACACGGAACCCCCAGCAGCACTGCCAAAGGGCCCGTTTCTTAAATCCACAGAGCCACCCTGCTCGGGCCCCAAAGGGGCAGAGTGCCACCTTGGTCCCTGCAAGGGAAGCACCTGGTTACCAGGTGAGGAGGGACCAGGAGCCTCGCCCAGGCAGCGCCTAAGCCCACGGCACAAACGTCCCCTCTACGACCACCCCGTGCTGCTGAAAAATTAGTCCAATTTAGTCCAAACACCATCAGACGAGGCCGGGAGGGAGGGGCAGAGCCGACTGGGCAGAATGAGAGCGGACGCAGGGACGAGGACGGCTCCCACGTCATCTCCTCGCCACGTGTTCCCAGCCGCAAAATGATAAGTCCGCACCCACCAGCGACACCTGATACCTAACACCTGAGGGAAACAAAACACTGAACAGCCGCTACTTACCACAGTTCCCGTTTCGCAGATGAGGAAACTGAGGCCCAGAGAGATTAAGCAACGTGCTCAAGGTCACGCAGCCACTGAGGAACAGTGAAGTGACAACAGCCCCACGGGGATCCACGCCCAGGCCACCCGCTGTGAACACACAAGGACAGCAGCCAGGGGGCCTATGAGATGGCTCCCGAGCACCCTGGCACCCGAGCTCCCGACAACCACAGGGTGGCCAAGAACACTTGCTCTGGGCCTCATCACGCCAGCGGCATCACCCCGGAAAGCCACCAGCCTGCCCTCAGGACACGGCGCCTCCCAGGGTTTCCAGGCTCAGAGCTCGAGCCCCACCCCACATGGTTCCGCGCTGGGGCGACCCCGCTGCGGCCGCGCAGCAGGTGGAGCGGGGTGAACGAAGGCAGGGGGGGCGTCAGGGACACCGCGAAAATCAGACCCCTCCCCACTGTGAACGGCAGAAAAGCACAGGAGACTCGGCGACACTCAGGCCACCAAAACCTGGGATGCACCTCAGCTCACTTCCATCTCAACAGAACCCAAGAAAGCCGTGTCCCCTAGAAAGAATAGTTCCAGCACATTCTTTGTTGCCTTCTGTCATCCTCGGTAGATCAAATGTATTAAAATAAGCCATAAAGAAAGTGAAGAAACCAAAACATATCCTACGAACAAGCTATCGAGAGGCGAGTGGCAGGAACAAATGGAGACGGGGTGTGGGGCGGGGGGGGCGTCTTCCCAGGCCGCTCCTTCCAGAACAAGGGGGTCTGGGCAGCCGTGGGTCCCACCCTGAGACCGAGACCGTCCTCACGTGGCGCCTGACAAGTGCACACACCTGCACACAGCTGTGCCGGGAAGATTTAAGGGGACCACGCACCCCAACTGTGCCATCACAAAGCCAAGGCACCAGGCCAAGCCCCCGAGAACAGGACAAGTGGGCCGGGCGGAAAGAAGGGCCCACGAGGCGGGAGCGGGGCGGAGAGGAGCACGCAGGAGCCGGGAGGCTCAGCCCCGCGAGGTCTGGGGAACACGTGAACAGACGGCTGGCGCTGAGGCCTGGAAGCGGCAGGCCACCACTGTGGGGACAGGGCTGGGCTGGCACTTGGGCCCAGAGACCCCAAGCACTTACGACAACGTCTTCACTTGAAAAATTTATCTGAAATCGGTACGTGAGATATGAGTGGCTTCAGAGAGGGATCTTTGAAGAAAAGAGGACAGCGCTGAGCATCTGCTGAAGTGACCACAGTAAAAGTGCTCTGGTCACTTCTCTGTGACCGTGGCTCAGGGACTGTCCTGTCTTCTCCCCAGGCAGCACCTGGGCCCGTGAGCTCGCACCAGGCCTTCCCCGAACCCAAGGACACCTGCTCCCAGAACCGCAGGGCCCGCTGCAAGGGAACCTGGGCCCAGGTCTACCGCTGTGACAAAAAGCCAACCCCAGGAAGACAGAGAAGACCACAAACACACACATGACCCAGATTCAGACACAAACAGACACGCCCTGCCAGCCAAGACCCTCTGCCGTCCACTCTGAAGATAAGTGCCCTGCCATGGCCTCGCCCACCACGGTCCTGCACACGGGGCTCCCTCAGGCCACGCCGGTTGTCCAGGGTGCAGGCGCCCCAAACAGAAAGGCTCCCGGTTCACAGGGAGTGTCCATCATGCTCCCCACAGCAACTCCCTGACTGAGACGAAGGCTCGGCAGCCAGCCTCCCCACCAGCACCCTCCACCCCATGCTGCCCACTTAGAGTCCCCCCCGCAGCCCCGCCACCCAACCCCAGTCTACAGACAGCTGCCACCTGGGCGCTGGCCTAGCCATGGACAGAAACGCCACGGAACAGGCACACACGTCTGCACACGCACACATGCGGTGGCCCTCCAAGCACAGGCGACAGGCCCGCATCCCCCCAGCCCCTCCTCCGCTCCCTGAGACTGACACTCCGCTGGAGGGGCGCCCAGAGAAAACCGGGCGGGAGCATCTATTCACAGATTTAAAAAAAAAAGTTTGATGCAATAGCTGAATTAATTAGGCCTCCCAAGAATAGCTGAGCCAATGCAGCATTCTGTGTGTGTGCAATTTAATAAGGCTGGATATTTAAAAGAAAAGTTACAAATACTTGGGGAGGGGGGAGACGCCATGGAAAGTTGGTGAGGACCTTGGCTACTGGTTTTGGTGTCCAGTGGCCCAGGCGCTGCATCCAATCACACAGATCCCCTGCCAGGCAAACGACAGGGCCTCAGCCGGGCCCTCCCTGCCCGCCTGCCGCGCCCTCCAGCGTTTCAAAGAAAGGGAGAAGGAAATGGGCGGAAATGGGCGCGTCCAAAACAAATCGCAGGCCATCGGCTCCTCCGACGCAGGCCCCGGGTGCCCAGTGCCCAGCGGCCCTCACCCTTGCCCAGAGGACTCTAGATTCACTCCCTGGCAGGCCCAGGGAGACGCACAGAGCTGGAGTCGCCGAGTCTCGGCCCCCTGCCACCGCGCCTGGACACCTGGCTTCGCTTTTGAGCCTGTCTCCCAGGACTTCAAGGCACAAAGAGGCTCCGCCTGGCCAAGTCCTGTCTGCTGGGGATCACGGGCAGGAAGCCCTCTGTCTGCGAGCCTGGGAGCTCCAAGGTGACGGCGGTGCCCTTTGCCCCCACCCGGTCTGGCCCTCCCCTCTGGGCCCCGAGGAAGGCCTGAGGCTCCAGCCCGGCCCGAACGAGCTCTAACTTCCCGGGACTCCCTGCCCCTCCTGGCCAGTCTCGGCTGTGGCTGTGGCCTCAGGAAAGCTGCTCCACCCACCAGGCCGGGCCCCAGGTCCCCGGGACCCCACGCCAGGCAAGCCAGCTCGTCCTAGGCACTGGCAGAAAGAGCGCCCTCCTCCCAGGCTACGAGGCCATCAACGGGGACTCTAAGCTACCCGGATTTTCCTTACAACAAAGCAAAACCCTGAAACGTAGGGAGAGGCAGAGGCACAGGTCCCAGCCTGCAGAGCGAGCCCCTGGCCCAGGAGGGCTGCC